TTGCTCTCCCCCACTTTGCCTATGGGGGTGTGTCAAACACTATATGTGTTGTTGTTGTGTAGGCTATAGTGGGTTAGCCTTTAGGGGGTACATAAAACTAGGGTTTGCTACTTGTACTCCAACTTTTCATAGTTCACACACTTCTCATTCTGACACATCTACCCATATTTATATGTGGTTTTCGTAGTGATGTGCCCTTGGCTGGAGACTCAAATATAACTATTTAAGATATGACATTGTCATAAGGCACGTATCTTATATAATTAGTACGATGTGGTAAGAAAATATCTTTAAAAAGTGTCTTGTAGCTTTCATAAGACCCTATGATCTTATATTCGGGTGATTACGGCTATTGTTATGTTACCGTTTGGAAATATTGTTATGCTTGCATTTTTGCAATAACATAGATTGATGCTTATCAATTAGTTGGAAATTATATACATTTGGACACGAATGCAATATTTTACTTAATATATTGTCAGAATGTTATCTTATGCTCTAGCCTGTAGTGGGGTGCTCTATAGCGAGTACAACCCTTCTAGGGTTTCCTATTTGTATCCCCATTCTTGCTAGTGCATCCCTCTTCTTTCTTCTAAACTTTAACATGCTATCAGAGCAGGTCGATCCCCTTGGATCGATCCTGTGGGTGGGCTTACCACCTCCTAGCTTCCGCTGCAACTCCTACCACTACACTCGGTGCCGCACGCCCCGTGGCGTGTGGCAGTTTTCTTCCCGCCGTGCGCCCCGAGGCGCGCGGCGGTTTTCTTCCCGCCGTGCGCCCCGAGGCGCGCGGCGGTTTTCTGCCCGCCGTGCGCCCCGAGGCGCGCGGCGGTTCTCTGCCCGCCGTGCGCCCCGAGGCGCGCGGCGGGCTTCGGCCCCGTCAACCGTCGCGTCGCCCTCGGGAGGCGCCGCGACGGGCGACGGGGACCCGTTCGTCGCCCCCCGTCGCCCGTCGTGGCCTGCGCGCGGCCCGTACAGGCAGCGCGCGACCCGTACGGGCTGCGCCAGGCCAGCGCGCGACCCGTACGGGCTGCGCCAGGCCCGCGCGCGACCCGTACGGGCTGCGCCAGGCCCGCGCGCGACCCGTACGGGCTGCGCCAGGCCCGCGCGCGGCCCGTACGGGCGGCGCCAGGCCCGCGCGCGGCTCAGGCCGCCTACGCGCGGTTCGGGCGACCCTACCAGGCCCGTGGTGGGCCCGCTCCTTGCTGCCCCTGCCCTCCCTACTGTCCCCCAGCGCTTCTACTCGTGCCCCACCCCTCCTACTCCCCATTCTCCTGTATTAGGGTTTGGGGGTGCGGGGTATGGGGGTGCACCCACTGTGTACTGTTCCCTGCTCCTCCTCCTCCGTCTCCCTGTGCTGCAGCTGCCGCTGAGGGGGGGTGGACGTGTTGGAGCCGGTGGAGTGGTACTAAGGGGGGGTGAAGGGGGAGTGGAGCTAGCGGTGTAGCAGCGGGTATGTGCCAGGGGGGAGTGGGATAGTTTGGGGAAGCTGAATGGAGGTTGCCGTCGTGTCGCCAGCAGCACCTGTATTCCGGGGACTTCGTCCGGTAGCCCAGTCGTAGCCAGCTGTGCCAGCCGCCCGTGGGTCCGTTGCTCGTCTGCCGCTACTTTAGCCGCGGGGCCTGTTACTCCTGTATTCCGGGGACTTTGTCCGGTAGCCGCTGTGCCAGTCTGCCTCCTGTTGCCTGTGTGTCTGCAGCTTCAGCCGTCGCCTCCTATCTCCTCTCCTCTCACTCTCTCTCCTCCTCCTCACTTGCCCGTTGTGACTACCACTAGCTTTGCTCATAATTGTGAACTTAAACTATTGCTTCTTGAACTTGTGCTCAGAATGTGTGGTGACATTGTGATCCACCCTGAGCTTGTACTCCTTTGCTTACTCTGCTGATTACACCCCACTTTGGCTATGGGGGTGTGTCAGAATGTTATCTTATGCTCTAGCCTGTAGTGGGGTGCTCTATAGCGAGTACAACCCTTCTAGGGTTTCCTATTTGTATCCCCATTCTTGCTAGTGCATCCCTCTTCTTTCTTCTAAACTTTAACATATATTACTAAGCGCGCTTTGTTTTTTGAATAATTTCGAACATCACATATACACTGTTTTAAAAGCACAGAATTTTGTAGTGTATTTGAGGAAGACAACTCCCCTAGGATATGACAGACTGCCTATTGTGTAGTTTTTTATTCCAACGGGCAGTCGTTTTGACAGTGCATCGCTTTGCGATCGCGCCCAAATCTCACTAGCAGATTATTTTGCATTTTTCCAATTCCTGTTACCAAATGTGTCAAAGGGCAAGTACGAATTTGACCTGGTTCCAGTTTAGTCTCCAGTGGCAAAAATTAACCCCTCTCGGATGACAAGCCATTTGGGAGGCATCAACCCTAAACGCATTGTCTCATGGTGTTTATGGTTTATGCCTTGTACTTGCCATGATATCCAAGTAGCTTTTATTTTTCCCAGCTGCGATCTTGCTTTTTTACGAGACAAAATCATTTTAAATACCCCATACAAAAACAACAATCTGTTTTTCTGGACTCAAAAAGGGAAATTGCAAAATCATATACCTCAAGGAACTGGACGCGAGTGTAAAGCAAGGCGCTGTAAACACCACTGCCGAAAGGAATTGGAAACGAGAAAACAGGGCGATTCGTCATTTCCTCCCACTCCCCGCTGACTACATCGACGGCAACAGCGGCGCGATTCGGCTTCCAACGGCGTTTGTGTGTCAGATAATATTTGTTGTGGCTGGGCAGGCAGGACAGCCATTTGGTTTTCTCGGAATACAGTACACCTCACACACAGCCCACATAACAACCATCCAATATAGTCCGTAGGTACTTCAAAAACTTAAAGCTTTTGTATACATTTGAAAGAGGGAGGTTCAAAAGTTTTGAAATTTGAAAGATTGGTAACCCTATTACAGCCAGTTCACTCGCTCTACAAGGGAGGGATATCTCCCCGACTCCCAGCACTCACAGGTGATTCAAAACTTTTGGGTCGACAAAAGTATACGAAATCCAACCTTTGTGAGATCTACGCCACTAGGCTCTACAGGCAGCATAATACGTAGCTAAGCACGCGACTCAACCGCCAGCGTAAATTACCCCCGTTTCTGACACAAACCTAGACGCGTAGGGCATTTTAGTAAAATTATAGGGATAAGCCAACTTCAGTTTCGCCCTCTCACGCGGCGATCCCGCCGGACCTTCCCTCATGGCCTCGCCTCCCCGTCCGTCGCGTCGTCTCAAACTGCCGAACACGGACGATCACAGTCGCGGCTCGATCGCACAGCCTCGCTACCACGTTTCCGCACTAGCCCCGGCAGCCGCACTTGAGGTCGCGAACGACTGCAGAAACGGGAACTCCCAACACCATCCCGCCTCCTCGTTTCCCCTTCTCGCCACCCGAATTCGCGTTCCCGCCTCCCCGTTTCCCCTTTCCGCTCCCCATTACCCCTTCCCGCCTCCCCGTTTCCCCTTTCCGCTCCCCATTACCCCTTCCCGCCTCCCCGTTTCCCCTTTCCGCTCCCCATTACCCCTTCCCGCCTCCCCGTTTCCCCTTCCCGCCTCCCTAATTCCCCTTCCTGCTCCCCATTACCCCTTCCCGCCTCCCCGTTTCCCCTTCCCGCCTCCCCAATTCCCCTTCCCGCCTCCCGTTTCCCCTTCCAGCTCCCCATTTCCCCTTCCCGCCGCCTCATTTCCCCTTCCCGCCTCCCCATTACTCATTCCCACCTCCCTGCTTCCCCTTCCCGCTCCCCATTACCCCTTCCCGCCTCCCCGTTTCCCCATCCCGCTCCCCATCTCCCCTTCCCGCCTCCCCATCACTCATTTCTTTGAACCATTTTCGTCCTTCCACCTCCTATGCATCTCCTTTCCCTACCTATGCATCAGCTATCCCTACCTATTCATCTCTCTTCCTTGCCTTAGCATCACCTCTCATCCCATCCCCTTCAAACCCCTCTCATCCCATCCCCTTCAAACCCCTCTCATCCCATCCCCTTCCAGCCCTTCTCATCCCATCCCCTTCAAACCCCTCTCATCCCATCCCCTTCAAACCCCTCTCATCCCATCCCCTTCAAACCCCTCTCATCCCATCCCCTTCAAACCCCTCTCATCCCATCCCCTTCAAACCCCTCTCATCCCATCCCCTTCCAGCCCTTCTCATCCCATCCCCTTCAAACCCCTCTCATCCCATCCCCTTCAAACCCCTCTCATCCCATCCCCTTCAAACCCCTCTCATCCCATCCCCTTCAAACCCCTCTCATCCCATCCCCTTCCAGCCCTTCTCATCCCATCCCCTTCAAACCCCTCTCATCCCATCCCCTTCAAACCCCTCTCATCCCATCCCCTTCAAACCCCTCTCATCCCATCCCCTTCAAACCCCTCTCATCCCATCCCCTTCCAGCCCTTCTCATCCCATCCCCTTCAAACCCCTCTCATCCCATCCCCTTCAAACCCCTCTCATCCCATCCCCTTCCAGCCCCTTCGATCCTCTTTCAGTCCCTCCCACCCCGGCAATAAAATATCTAGAGGGTGTGTTGAATCGTATGCATTCCCCCTAATGCCCTCCTCCCTGTACTGCCGATCTCCTTATTTGCGTGACGTTCACACCCACTCCATCCCATCCTGGCCCTCCCGTACCCTTCTCATCGTTCTCTGCATCCTGAGCATCCTCTATTGACGTCCCCAGCTTTTACTCTGGAAAATGGGTTTCCAAATAATTCTTTTTATGTATTTAGTGTAATGGGAAATGAGAAATCGTTACACCAAACTTGTTGAAGTGCAGATACCTAAATGGACAATGAAACTCATAAAAGTTCCTAATATCGTACGGCTAAGCGAGCTCGACAACACACAATTGGAAGTGTATGCATGGGGGTTGAATCACAATTAGAAGCCGTCAACTAAGCAAGATGCCGCACGTGCTGTAGGGTTTGCTGTCGCATGCCTGGCATTGGTGTGTAGCAGAGGGGAGCGAGAGTGTGGGCCGCTTGGTGGACCTGCTAGTGAGAGGAGTGGGGGGATTGGGATAGAGGTTGTGGGGGTCTTGTGCCTGAGGAAGGAACACTGGCAGAGGCAGCAGGGGCAGCTCCGGCAATGGCAGCAGCAGTGACAGTAGGGGTAGGGACAGAAGAAGTAGGCGCAAAGAGAGAGGTGCACGAGTGGCCGCATTTGTGCCTGAGCCAAAAAAAACAGGTGCGGAGCAAGGAAAGGGTGGGCATGAGAGGGGTGGGGATGGGTGTGGGCATCGGAAGGTGGGCATGGAGATGGGAGAGCGTGGAAGGGAGAATGGAAAGGAGGGAGTGGGGGCCATCACGAACAATGGAACCACCCTGTAAGGAGGGGGAGCAAGGAGGGGGGAAGAAGGGGAGAAGGGGGGAAAATGAACGGTTGAAGGGGGGAAATGAGAGGGAAGCAGGGGAACTGAGAGGGAGAAGGGGGAAACGATGGTGAGCAAGGGGGAAATGAAAGGGAGTAGGGGGGAAAATGATAGGGAGAAGGGCGGGAATGAGGGTGGGAAGAGGGCGAAGTGAGAGGGAGAAGGGGGGTAAGTGAGGGGGAGCAGGGGGAGAACTGAGGGCGAGAAGGGGGGGGGGGATGAGAGGGAGCAAGGGGGGAAATGAGAGGGAGAAGAGGGGGGGGGGAAGAGAGGGAGAAAAGGGGGATTTGAGAGCTAGAAGGGGGGGATTTGAGAGGGGGAATGGGGACAAAATGAGATGGAGCAAGGGGGGAAAGGAGAGTTGAGAAGGGGGGGAAATGAGGGGGAGAAGGGGGGAAAATGAGGGGGAGAAGAGGGGGAAATGAGAGGGAGAAGGGGGGAGGGGATGAGAGGGATGAGGGGGGGATTAAGAACGAGAAGAGGGGATATGTGGGGGAGAAGGGGGGGGGAATGAGAGGGAGCAGGAGGGGGAATGATGGTGAGTAGGGGGGGAGCTGAGAGGGAGCAAGGGGGGAAATGAGAGGGAGCAAGGGTGGAAGTGAGAGGGAGTAGGGGGGAAAATGAGGGCGAGAAGGGGGGGGGGGATGAGGGGGTGAAGGGGGGGGGGTGAGAGGGATAAGAGGGGGATTTGAGAGCGAGTCGGGGGGAATTTGAGAGGGGGAGAAGGGGGGGAAATGAGAGAGAGAAGGGGGGTTAATGAGAGGGAGGAGGAGGGAAATGAGAGGGAAAAGGGAGGAACATGAGAGGGAGAAGGGGGGGAAATGAGGGGGAGAAAGGGGGAGATTAAAGGGAGAAGGGAGGGTAATAAGAGGGAGAAAGGGGGGAAATGAGAGAGAGAAGTGGGTGAAATCAGGGGGACCAGGTCGGGAAATGAGAGGGAGAAGGGGGGAAATGAGGGGGACGAACGAGAGAAGGCGGTCCCGATGAAAGCGAGACGTTTTGACGAACGAAGTGGCTTGTGAGGCGAGCAGCGCGTGAGACGAGCAGCGTGTGAGGCGAGCAGCGCGTGAGACGAGCAGCGTGTGAGGCGAGCAGCGCGTAAGGCGCGCAACGAGTGAGGCGCGCAGCGCGTGAGGCACGCAGCCCGTGAGGCGAGTCGCGGGTGAGGCGCGCAGCGCGTGATGCGAGCAGCGGGCGATGCGAGCAGCGGGTGATGCGAGCAGCGGGCGATGCGAGCAGCGGGTGATGCGAGCAGCGGGTGATGCGAGCAGCGGGTGATGCGAGCAGCGGGTGATGTTAGCATCGGGTGAGGCGAGCCGCGGGTGAGGCGCTAAGCTGTAAGCTGGTGAGGCGCGCAGCGGGGTAGGCGAGAAGCAGGTGACGTGCTAAGAGGGTGTCGCGAGCTGCTTGTTCGGCGAGAATTACTTGGCGAGGACAACGAATGGATCGCGGCGAACCCGCCTAATGCTATTGAATGATCCAGACGGCGCTGGAGCTGAAGGGAGTTGGCGGGCACTAGACGGTCCTTGTCGTGACTACGTGTGCAATCTAACACCAGCGACTGTGTAAGTGGTTGCGCTGTTCCAGTCACTGCCTCGTCGCCTCCCGTGTAGTTCTATCGCAGCCCCGTTAGTAACATCGCGACTTGTTTTTGTATCAGTGAGCACCATTTTGTAGTTTGGGTGACGGGAGGGTGTTTATGCCCTGACAACGCAACCCTCACTGGACGCTTCAAATTTTCGCCAACCTCTCGCCAAGCTCATTCGATCTCGTTGTGGCGAAATCTTTTTGGACACTGTTCAAACCGCAACAGTACTTTCAAATGTATACAAAAGCTTTAAATGCTGGACTGATTGAGCACTGACAAACTTGGTACAAACCGAAGGAAGACTTGTGCCAAAAACTATCCAACTCAGCAACATTTTGGTGTGGGTGCAGCAAACAGAGTCGCAAGCCGCGCCACCGCGACAAATTCGATGGAGACATGAAGGGGGCGGACTGACGGTGGCGGCGGCGGAAATTGGGGAAGGACCAGGAAGATGGGATGGGATGGGAAGGGTGGGAGGGAGATCGGGAGGGGATGGGATGGGTGGGATGGGGTGGGATGAGAGGCGGTTTTGGGAATGGGGTCAGATGGAAATTGGGACGGGGTGGCTGGTAACGAGGAAAAGCACCACACCAACGGCAGCTGTGATGCTTGTGCACCTGCTATAAGTAGGCCTAACAATGACGAGTCAAGCCACAGGTAGCATTATTAGTGGATAGGCCAATCAAACCTTCACTACTCACGACGGCCTTTGCAGAAGCGTGCTTCTATAGCCCATCGAAGCTCGCGGACACGATCCTCCCGCTCCGTAGTAATAGATTAAGTCTTAATCGCGACACGTTCAGCCGCATAAAATTGCAATTCCAGGCCGAAACAGAATATACATCAAGGCCATATTACCGTTTCCATCAAGTCGTTTCAGCTGCATCGTCCATCTACTCTCGGCCATCGTGTGTTCGCTTCCCTTCCCAAAGCCGATCGCCGATATGATGGCGTCTCGCCTTCCTTATCGGTTACAATCCTCAGCGGTGCTCCTTGTTGCGACGATTACGCTACTGGTACCGCTAACCCTCCCTTTCATTCCGTCAGCTATATTCCCGCGAACTCCCCTCTCGTACCCGCACGGCACGCCGCGTTCCGCGCCGCAGCACCCGTCGTTTTTCGCGCGAGCCGATACCGGCCCAAACGCGACCCTGAAAGCCGGAGCGCGATGCTTGGGATACACGCTCTGGGACCGCGACCAAGGCGCGTCGAAGAACCCCGGGCCCTTCTGCGGCTCGGGTCTGCACTGCGTGTTCTTTAACGGAATCCCCGCTAAGAAACAGAGGAACGTGCATGGCATCGGACGATGCGTACCCGAGGGTCGAACGTGCCCTGAAAGTAAGAATTCCGGGAAAACCGGAGCGTGTGATGGGATGGAGGGAGAAATTGCGCGGGGGAGCGGGGGATAGGCGGGAGTGGGGATGAGTGAAGGGACATAGGCCGATTCGCGAAGGCGGGTGGAGGGGAAAGGGAGAGGAAGGAACGGGGATGGGTCGGGAGGGATTTTTGGGGAAAAGGGAAGGCCTCCATACGCAACCTGATCCGTGGAATTTTTTCCTGGAAATTTTCTGGGAAATTTATTTGTTTCTTTCCGGTCGCGATTCTACGGATTTCTGGCGTTCATTCGCATATCGGCTCATCATCTACTGCCTCCTTTCTTCAACAACCCCCTATCATGATCCACACAGCACAAGCACCACCAAGTGCAGTGTGAGAGACTGCACGCAACGCCCGTTCCCCAGTCCTCTCCCTTCCCCTCCTCCCCTTCTCGGCCCCACTCCTGTCCGCCACACCTCCGCCTCACCTCCGCCTCACCTCCACCTTCCGCCCGATTGGGTGTGTTTCAAGAACTTACCATCCCACTAACTGCTATTATTCCCCTTCCCTTCATCCTGTCGTTTCCCCCTTACCTTCAACCCCTTCCCTACCGTCTACCAGATGTGACGAGCATCAAGTGCGTGAGCGACTGCATGGGGATGGACTATGTGCAGGGCCCGGACTGCGATTCCATCATGGAAAAATGGGTGTGCTACGCTGACGTGTGTGACCAGTGTTGGTAAGTTTTGAGACGTCTAAGAAACTCTACCAGACGTGACGAGCATCAAGTGCGTGAACGACTGCATGGGGATGGACTATGTGCAGGGCCCGGACTGCGATTCCATCATGGAGAAATGGGTGTGCTACGCTGACGTGTGTGACCAGTGTTGGTAAGTTTTGAGACGTCTAAGAAACTCTACCAGACGTGACGAGCATCAAGTGCGTGAACGACTGCATGGGGATGGACTATGTGCAGGGCCCGGACTGCGATTCCATCATGGAGAAATGGGTGTGCTACGCTGACGTGTGTGACCAGTGTTGGTAAGTTTTGAGACGTCTAAGAAACTCTACCAGACGTGACGAGCATCAAGTGCGTGAACGACTGCATGGGGATGGACTATGTGCAGGGCCCGGACTGCGATTCCATCATGGAGAAATGGGTGTGCTACGCTGACGTGTGTGACCAGTGTTGGTAAGTTTTGAGACGTCTAAGAAACTCTACCAGACGTGACGAGCATCAAGTGCGTGAACGACTGCATGGGGATGGACTATGTGCAGGGCCCGGACTGCGATTCCATCATGGAGAAATGGGTGTGCTACGCTGACGTGTGTGACCAGTGTTGGTAAGTTTTGAGACGTCTAAGAAACTCTACCAGACGTGACGAGCATCAAGTGCGTGAACGACTGCATGGGGATGGACTATGTGCAGGGCCCGGACTGCGATTCCATCATGGAGAAATGGGTGTGCTACGCTGACGTGTGTGACCAGTGTTGGTAAGTTTTGAGACGTCTAAGAAACTCTACCAGACGTGACGAGCATCAAGTGCGTGAACGACTGCATGGGGATGGACTGTGTGCAGGGCCCGGACTGCGATTCCATCATGGAGAAATGGGTGTGCTACGCTGACGTGTGTGACCAGTGTTGGTAAGTTTTGAGACGTCTAAGAAACTCTACCAGACGTGACGAGCATCAAGTGCGTGAACGACTGCATGGGGATGGACTATGTGCAGGGCCCGGACTGCGATTCCATCATGGAGAAATGGGTGTGCTACGCTGACGTGTGTGACCAGTGTTGGTAAGTTTTGAGACGTCTAAGAAACTCTACCAGACGTGACGAGCATCAAGCGCGTGAACGACTGCATGGGGATGGACTATGTGCAGGGCCCGGACTGCGATTCCATCATGGAGAAATGGGTGTGCTACGCTGACGTGTGTGACCAGTGCTGGTACAGCTGCGGGCGTGCGGCATGGGCGCGGGTGTTGTCATAGTAGCCTGCTTTAACTTGCACGCACGTATTGACACAGACACAGATACGCGCGCAGACACTCAAGCACGTGCACGCATGCGCACACACGCGCACGCGCACACCTACACAACCATGCACGCATGCACACACACACACACACACACACACACACACACACACACACACACAAACAAAAACAAAGTCATCCACCCAAATCTCCCCCTATCTCTCCCATACCCTTCCCTCCTCCCCCCTCCCACTACTTCGATTCTCAACTTCCATATCTCTTGTCATAGAAACAGAAATTTCTGCATCCATTCCTGCCGCTATCTCCGCAACTCCCATGTGTTGTACCTCCCCACCCCTGCGTTTCACCTACCCATCCCTTCGTTTCACCTCCCCACCCCTGCGGTTCACCTCTCCACCCAGGCGCAAGATGTTCTACAGTGACTACCACTGGCCCATACAGGAGGCTAGCATGTGCGAGCGCACGCAGGGACCGCCCTACCCCTGCCTCTCTGCCACCCAGTTGAATGCCTCCTGCCCTGCTTGCCTTTCGTACAAGCTGCCCACTCGAACATGCTTTGGTGAGGTTTTGTTTTTCTCTCTCCTCCTCCTCCTCTCTCTCTCTCTCTCTCTCTCTCTCTCTCTCTCTCTCTCTCTCTCTCTCACACACACACACACACACACTCCTCCTTCCCCAACCCTGACCACCCTAAATCTCATATAAAACCCTTCTCAATCCCCCTTTCCTCCTTCCCACCCGTATGGCTGCCATTTCAGTTCCAGATTCCTATTGCCCTAACCGTGGTTGTGCCAAGTCTTACTGCCTCAAGGTTTACAGGAAGGGGTGGACAATTTGTGGCAAGTGTGCTGCAGGCTATAAGAAGGTGAAGGGGGGGCAATGCATGCCTAGTAGGGCATAAGGACGACAATTCTTTTTCAGGATATGTACAGATGTTTGGCTTGATTTAGAGCAGTGCATAAAAGGAGCATAAGTCAAACAGATACTGTGATGATGTCTGGACCTCCTGGACTGAGAAAGGCATACTTTTTGTACAAGAACAAATGCATTTCTACAAAATGAAACCCTTGGGATGTAAAAGTGTAAGGATTTTTTTGGCATTCCCTACTGCGTTCTTCAACATCGCGTACAGCAACAGCCATTGTTCGTCCGTTACTGCTAACGGGGGCTTCGCCAACTTCGCGAGCATTATCTTACCAAACCATGCACTGCTGGCCTGGCCGAGTCGGTATGCTTCAGGACTAATAACCCGAACCTCGATGCCAGGCTAGCAGTAGCTAACTCGCATGCACCGCGCAACCGTTGCATGTTTTAGCACATATTCGCTCATGCCTTCGCTCATACTTTGTACTCTTTCGACCACCTAGTGCAATCCTCGTTATCTCGTTAAATTGCACCCGTAACAAAAAGGCTATATTTGATTGTTTTTTACATCAATAATTGCATGTATTTTTTTTCCAAGAGAATGAGGGTTAACTGTTATGAGTGCAATTGAGTGAACGAACGAGAATTGCACAATCGAAGCAGGAGTACAATGCGCGAAGGCATGAGCGAAAAATATATAGCGAAACTGTTGGAAACGCAACCACACCGACTAAGTTAATCGGCTACGTCGACGCTGATCACGCTGGCGACTCCGACAATAGGCGCTCCCGCACCGGCTACATCTACCGCCTCGAACCTATCGGACCTATCTCTTGGCAGTCGAGCAAGCAGGAATTAATTGCTCTCTCGTCAGCTGAAGCAGAATATATTGCACTCTGCTCAGCCACCAAGGAAGGACTCTATCTTCGCGAGCTGCTGGAAGAAGCGAAGTTAGCCGAGTTACCCAACTTTACCCTGTTCTGCGACAACCAGTCGGCAATTCGCATCGCCAACAAGAACGGCTTCGCGAACAGGACGAAACACATCGCCCTGCGATATTTCTTCGTGAAGGACGAGATCGAGAAGGGAAGGCTCGAGCTGTCATACTGTCCCACGTCCGAGATGGCAGCTGACTACCTGACCAAGAAGCTCGGAAAGCAGAAGTTCGAATACTGCATGCTGCTGACTGGACAGAGCCACGTCAGCGACACTCCAGAAGCGAAGGGGAGTGTTGGAAACAATCGGTCCTAAGCGCCTCTGTCGTGTCGAAACACTAAGACACAAAAGAAACGAAGTATAACGAATCACCGGCGAGTCAACCCTCGGAGGTTGAAAGTAACTGTTGGAGGTTACGCGAAAGTCAAAGGTCAGCGACCTTTGACCTGACAAAGTACAGCGCGACAGCAAGGACAAACAACTGACTCGGTATTGAGCAGTTGCCCGAGTCGTCACTGTATCGAACCGCAACAGCAATAGTAAAACGGTTATTAACTGTATCTCTTCGTATTCCTTGTACTCTTATAAAAGCTTGTATCTCTTTGTTTTAATCAACTTACTTTGCCCTCACATACTAGCGCAAGGTGGTTCACAACTCTTTAATTAACGCTTCCGCTACTACACCAACTCTACCCAGAGTTCACCCCTGCAAAGATCCTAAGGGTTTTTCAGCCCAACAGAAACTACAGTGGTAACGGTAATGTGTAGAAAAATGGGGTGCGCGATGGGCCTAGTGCCGAAGTTGGGAAATGTCGAGGCGGAGGTCCGGAGCGCGGGTTACCAGCCGAACCGTGAGGTTGGGTCGCGTCGTGAACAGTGGCGGGAACAGTGTCGAGGTGAGTGTCGCGAGTGGTAACGGATTACTGTTGGGTGCTGTTGGCGGGAACAGTGGTGTACGCGCTGAGCAGGGACGCGAAGTAAGGAGAAAGAAAGTAGGGACCCTATGCGAATTCGATGAGTGGCAAATGCTGTTCCCATGTGGTCGAGTCGTCGCACGTGGCTCGAATGAGTTGCTCCATGGTCTGGTTTGTCCGTCAGTCTTAGGGTGGTACGAAGAACTAAACTGTAGTCTGTCAATTATATGCATGTTATATCTGTTTAGGCTGTAGTGGGGTAGCCAATGTAGGGTACAACCCCTTAGGGTTCTCATCCTTGTACCCAAACTTCCTCGATACTCAATCATCCCTACCAACCTACTCTAACATGGTATTAAGAGCACTTAGGTCTTAGGACCTAATTTCCTAGTGGGTCCACCGTTAACTCTCATGTTTTAGGGTTTCCCCTACCTGTTGAGCTGCCCCACCCGTCGCGCCGCCCTGCTGGCCGCGCGACGCGCGTTTAATTTATCTTTTTTCTCGTCACGCCGCCCTAGGGCCCGGCCCCGCCCGTCGCGTCGCCTTAGGGCCTTCGCGCCGCCCACGGGAGCCAGTTGCGCTGCCCTGCTGGCAGCGCGCGACCCCGCCTGGCCCGTCGCGCACCTGTAGGGCACGCGAGCCGCCCTTCCCTGCCCGCCGCGCCGCCCCTTTTTGGCAGCGCGCGGCTCGGCCCCGCCCTCGCGCACCCCTACGGCCCTCGTGCCGCGCTCTGACAGCCGATGCAGCCCCACCCTGCCCCAACGCCGCCCCTGGAGCAGCCGCCCCTGGACCCAGAGCAACCGCCCCTGGCTCCTGCAGCAGCCGCCCCTGGTGCAGCCGCCCCTGGACCCTCGAGCAGCCGCCCCTGGCCCCTGCAGCAGCCGCCCCTGGTGCAGCCGCCCCTGGACCCTCGAGCAGCCGCCCCTGGACCCAGAGCAGCCGCCCCTGGCCCCTGAAGCAGCCGCCCCTGGTGCAGCCGCCCCTGGACCCTCGAGCAGCCGACCCTGGACCCAGAGCAGCCGCCCCTGGCTCCTACAGCAGCCGCCCCTGGTGCAGCCGCCCCTGGACCCTCGAGCAGCTGCCCCTGGACCCTGAGCAACCACCCCTGGCCCCTGCAGCAGCCGCCCCTGGTGCAGCCGCCCCTGGACCCTCGAGCAACCGCCCCTGGACCCAGAGCAGCCGCCCCTGGCCCCTGAAGCAGCCGCCCCTGGTGCAGCCGCCCCTGGACTCCGTGCAGCCGCCCCTAGACTCCGCGACGCCACCCCTGGACCCGCGACGCCGCCCCTGGACCCCGTGCAGCCGCCGGCCGAGCGCCGGCCCTGCTCGCTCGGCGAGCGCCTGCTCTTCCCGCCACTGGAGAGCACCCGCCTTGTTTGCGCACTCCCTGCCTGCCAGCCTGCCTGCCTGCCCGCCATCCTGCCTGCCTGCCTGCCTGCCTGTCTGTCTGCCTGCCTGCCTGCCTACCTGCCTGCCGCGCCTGCTCTGCCCGCGTTGCTGCTGCTACTACTGCCACTACCACTGCTACTGCTGCTACTGGCGGTGGCCAGATGCAGCTCCAGCGACGTCCGCGCGAGTCTCTCACGCCCCAGAAGCTTCGTGAGTGGTACGCTAGTTGGGGTTGTAGTGGTAGCCGTCGTGGCGGTAGCCGTTGTGGCTATCGCCCTGGAGCTGGTCAGTCGGGAGCATCTGGCAGTGGCCAGCTGCAGCTGCAGCGGCGTCCGAGCGAGACACTTACGCCCCAGTAGCTTCGTGAGTGGTACGCTCAGAATAGAGGGTCTTTGAGTACCGTTCGTTGCCCGTACGTCATTCGCACATGTGATCGGACTGGTCAGGCTTGCGGGACGCTTAGTCACACACAGTCCTGCTACTTCGCCCGACTGAGCGACGCCTGGCGTACCGAGTTTGGCGACGAGGCTGAGCTCCCCGACTGGGTGGAGCTGCTTGGGCAGAGGGTAGATATATTTGCTCTTGACTATGATGCTATTCTCACTGCCATGTATGCATTGCCTACTAGTTCTGACCGTGCCTGTTACCTGTGCGTACCGCCTGACCCAGGTATAGAGCCTGCTGCTCTCGGTGCTGGTGAGGCTGCTGCTCTAGGTGCTCGTGCGTCTCCTGCTCTAGGTGCTAGTGCGTCTCCTGCTCTAGGTGCTGGTGAGGCTGCTGCTCCAGGTGCTGGTCAGTCCGCTCTCTCTGGTACTGCGCCTGTTGAGGCCTTGTACACCTTCACACTTGACTCAGGTGCTTCCCGCTCCTTCTTTCGCGACAGCACCACCTTCACGCCGCTCAGCCGGCCGGTTCCAGTCTCCCTGGCAGACCCCTCTGGGGGTCCAGTCCTTGCGCACTCCTCCATGGTCCTGCCGTGTCCGGCGGTCCCGTCTGGCTCCCTGTCAGGTCTTCACCTCCCCTCGTTCTCTACGAACTTGGTGAGTGGTGCTGACCTCCAGGACCAGTGGGTTGACCACTTCACTCCTGGAGGTCAGCGCGTGACCCACTGTACGTGCTCCCGGACGGGCCGGCACCTGGCCACGTTTACCCGTGCGCTTGGCTCGAGTTTGTACACACTGACTACTGTGTCCCCTCAGGTCGCTGCGTCTGCGTCTGCGTCAGGTCAGCTAGCGGCCCCCTGCTCGTGTCGCGCTTTGTCACACCAGACCCTCCTTTGGCACCACCTTCTTGGTCACCCATCGGTGCAGCGCCTTCGTAGCATGCACCGCCGTGTCCTTGTCTCTGGTCTTTCCAGGGTTCTCCCTCCCCTCCCACCTTCGCCTGCTCCTCCCTGTCTTCCCTGTGTCGAGGGGCGGCAGCGCGCCGCTCCTCACTCCTCCTCGTTCCCTCCCACAGAGGCTCCCCCACAGACCCTCCACCTGGACGTGTGGGGCCCAGCGCGCGTCCGTGGACAGGGCCACGAGCGGTACTTCCTACTGGCCGTCGACGACTACACGCGTTACACGACGGTCTTCCCCTTGCAGCGCAAGGGGGAGGTCCCTGAGTTTTGATCCCTTGGATCCGCGCTGTTCGTCTCCAGCTCCGCGAGCGGTTCGGGAGGGACTTTCCTGTCCTGCGTCTGCACTCTGACAGAGGTGGTGAGTTCTCCTCAGACCTCTTGGCAGCCTTCTGTGCGGAGCACGGCATCCGCCAGACGTTCACGCTTCCGGCCTCTCCACAGCAGAATGGGGTTGCTGAGCGCCGCATTGGCTTGGTCATGGAGGTCGCTCGTACCTCCATGATCCATGCGGCTGCCCCCCATTTTCTGTGGCCGTTTGCGGTCCGGTACGCCGCGCATCAGCTCAACCTCTGGCCCCGTGTCTCCTTGCCGAAGACCTCGCCCACACTGCTGTGGACGGGGAAGGTTGGCGATGCGTCGCGTTTCCGGGTCTGGGGTGCTCGTGCCTTTGTCTGCGATACCACCACGGACAAGCTCTCAGCCCGCGCTGTTCCCTGTGTCTTCCTTGGCTTTGTCCCTGACGCGCCTGGTTGGCAGTTTTACCACCCCACCTCGCGCCGTGTCTTCCCCTCTCAGGACGTCACGTTCGACGAGTCGGTTCCCTTTTACCGTCTCTTCCCCTACCGCACTGCCCCTCTCCCCCCCCCCGCCGCTCTTCCTCGCTCTAGGTGCTCCCCAGGTAGACCCCCTCCCCGCTCCTGGTCCTGCTCCTTCAGGTGTGTCTCAGGTAGACCCTCCTCCCTTGACTGCGCAGGTTGAGGTCACTGGTGACTTAGGTCCTGCTGAGAGTGGTCCTGCTCGGGGTGCTGCTTCTGGGGGTGCTGAGCCTGGGGGTGCTGAGCCTGGGGGTGCGAAGCCTGGGGGTGCTGAGCCTGGGGGTGCGGAGCCTGAGGGTGCGGAGCCTGGAGGTGCTGAGCCTGAGTGTGAGGAGTCTGGGGGTGCTGCACCTGCGGGCGCTGAGGCGTCTGGTGAGCAGTCTCCTTGGAGCGGCCGTCTCCGTAGTCGCTCCGCTGGTGCCTCGCCGCTCCACTCTCGTCGTCGACTCCCTCTCTCCCCACAGCAGCTGCGTGAGTGGTACGTTGGCCGTCAGGGTCGCGCTGCTGGAGCTAGGGGCCCTGCTGCGGGAGGTGCTGGAGCTGGTGACTCTGCTACTGGAGTTGTTTTTGCTGGAGGTTCTGAAGCTGCTGAGGGTGCTGGCGCTGGAGGTTCTGGAGCTGCTGGAGGTGCTGGCGCTGGTGGCGCTGGAGCTGGAGGTTCTGGAGCTGCTGAGGGTGCTGGCTCTGAGGGTTCTGAGTCTGCTGTTGCGCGGTCTCCTTGGAGTAGCCGCCTTCGTCCGCGTGTGCGTCTCACCTCACAGCAGCTGCACGACTGGTACGGTCGCCGTCAGGGTCGCGCTTCTGGAGCTCGGGGCTCTGCCGCTGGAGGTACTTCTGCTGACGTCACTGGAGCTGGGAGTGGTGCTGGTCCCGGAGGTGCTCGTACTGGGGGTACTGGAGCTGCTGGGGGTACAACCCCTTAGGGTTCTCATCCTTGTACCCAAACTTCCTCGATACTCAATCATCCCTACCAACCTACTCTAACATAGTCGCGTGCCGAACGGCTGCCACAGGTTCCGCTATAAGTTGCTGGCGAATTTCGTGTTGTGGTTGCTGATGATTGCTGCTGGTATCCCGTGCAGTTGAACGACGGTGGAGATGAAGAGGCAGGCCGTTTCTTCGGCTGTGATCGATTTCTTGCAGGCTGCGAAGTGTGCCATTTTCGTCAGCCGATCGACGACGACCAGGATCGCGTCGTTCCCACTTGCCCCGGTCGGTAACCCTGTAACGAAGTCTATCGTCACCTGCTGCCAAACACGCTCTGGGGGTGGTATCGGCTGCAGCTGTCCTGCCGGCCGCTTTCGTGATGATTTCATGAGCTGGCAAGTGGGACACAATGCCACGTGTCGCTGCACGTCGGTCAGCATTTCGGGCCAGTAAAAATACCGCTGCAGCTGCTGCCGTGTTTTTTCTACTCCGAAATGGCCTGAGGTAACTCCGTCGTGTGCCTCCTGTAGTAGTAATTCCCGTAGTAGTGTGTACCCCGGTACCTAGATGCGGTCGGTGCCGTGCGTGCTTACGAGAGAGCACTTCGAGCGGCGGTGCTTGTTTCGCTGAGAGACGTCTACCCCCCCCCAAAATTGAGATAGTGGGGAAGCGAAGGTGTGGGTGCGGTCCGAGAAGAGATCGTAGGCTCTGAATACCAAATGTTATGAGTGCAATTGAATGAACGAACGAGAATTGCACTATCGACGCAGGAGTACAATGAGCGAAGGCATGAGCGAAGAATATATAGCGAAACTACAGTGGTAACGGTAATATGTAGAAATATGGGGTGTGCGACGGGCCTAGTGCCGAGGTTGGGAAATGTCGAGGCGGAGGTGCGGAGCTCGGGTTACCAACCGAACCGCGAGGTTGGGTCGCGTCGTGAACAGTGGCGGAACAATGTCGAGGCGAGTGTCGCGAGTGGTAACTGATTACTGTTGGGTGCTGTTGGCGGGAACAGTGGTGCACGCGCTGAGCAGGGACGCGAAGCAAGGAATATGATTTTTCCTTAATGACACACCCTGAGTGATTCGGGAAGGGCTCAAAATTGGCCCTTGAAGACACGGCTACCCATCAATGTCAGCCAGGTTGCTAAAACCAGCCCTAAAATTGACAGATACTACGCCCGTGTATGGGAGGCGGAGAATTCACGAAAATGACTGCTTGTCAAGTTGGGACTTTTGAGATGATATCGACAGCGTTTCTTGGTGTCAAGTCGAAATCACACCAGACCGGAAGCTTTGACATGGCTAAACATTATGGATGACATGTTCACCTTGCTTCGTGATACGCAGTGTGACTTCTGGGATGTCATCCCCCCGGACACGACCTGATGTGTGGGACTTCTGGCAATGTGGAGTGGTGCCTAGTCGCTCGGAGCCACCAGCCAACGGAAATTTTGTTCCAGTCTACCCTGCCCTGGCCTCAGGCTACAGTGTTTCTCGTACACCTACGTATGGGCAGCCGAGTTTCGGCTGCTTGAGGGAATTGAGATTCGAGAGATCCTCCACGCACTGTACCTTTTTTAGCATTTCCTAAGCCTGTCCCATTCATTCTCGCTCGAAACCCACCCACCAGTCCCATTAAGATATTCATCGCTCTGAAACCTTTTTGACCTCATCAGACCGCTCTGGAACGAACTTCATTGCGCTTCACGTCAGTGGAATCCAAGTGACAGAATACTGTGTAGGGTCATTCATTTCAGTTTAGCTTTTTTTTTTCCATGACGGCTATGATCAGCAGCATCCGTCCACAGCACACATTCGGTTCTTATTCCCTCTCACAATGATCCCATTGCTCCCTAGACTCCACCGCATTAGTGTGAGTACGATCCCTGCTCCCGTATAGCCCACACATAGCACCTCTCTCTATCCTAGAAAAGTAAGGAGCTGGACAAGGAGCTCCAAGCTCATTCCCGCCGCTATACGCTAAGAGCGTCGCATTCTTAAGTCCTACTTCTCTCTCTTCCGCTCCTCCTTCCCTCGCTCGTTCCTTCTATCTCTCTCCCATTCTCCATATGTCCTCTCATGGCTCGCTCCCGATCGGCCATGCAAATGGCCCACACCGTCGAATCACCCACCGCCGCAACAGCCGGCTGCACCGGCGCTAGTGCCGGCACCGTCAGCGGCGGCAACGGCGACCGCGGCACCGGCAGCGGCACCGGCGGCGGCGACGGTGGGGGGGCTGGAGGCAGTTCGAGCGCAAGCCATTCCCGCGCGTCGGGCCCAGCGGTCGGGAGAGCTCGCAGCGACAGCGCCGTTATAGAGATCATCAGTATTCCCGAGGAATCGCCATTTGACGCTCTCCCCGCCTCCGCTCTCCCCGCCTCCGCTCTCCCCGCATCCTCCGCTGCTGCTACTGCAGGCTCTTCCGCAAAATCGCTACACCATCCCCCCGCCGCCTTCACTCCGGATTCTTCTCACGAGTTCTCCGCCGCGATACCCGGCGCCAGCTCATCGTCCGCGGATTTCGCGCGCCTCCAGCCCCCCTCCGCCGACCCGCGCTCCCGCTCCCCCTCCCGCTCCCGCTCCTCCTCCTCCTCCGCCTCCTCATCCCGCACATTCAGCTTCGCCGCGGCTCGGGGCTTCTTCAGCGGCCGACTCGGCACGCTCTCGCGGAGTCATAACGACCCGCATCATTCCACGGACGCGACCCGACCGTTTCCTGACGCGGGTGGAGGCGCGGAAAGCAGCGGAGGCGGCGGTGCGGCGGAGGCCGCCAGAGAGGAGAACGAGGTGCGGGGATGGCGGTCGTCGATGTTCGCGCCGCTGCTGCTGCGCCCCGCGCTGCGGAGGCGCGCAGCGATGCGCGGGGTGGAAGAAGGGGAGGAAGGGGAAGAGGGGGAAGATGACCGCGACGCGAGCGAGGAAGCTTCACTCGTTCCGCACGTGTGTGACTCAGCGTGCTCCGCGGCGCGCGGATGCCCGAGGCTGCGCGGAATCGCCTCCGATAGTAGCGCCGCTGGCGGCACACACGCGCTGTCCGCGTGGGAGGCGGAGGAGCGCGAGCGGGAGCGGGCGCTAGAAGCGGCGGAAGCGGCGGACGGGGAGGGGGAGCGCGCGGAGGACGAAGAGGACGAGTACTGGGGGGTTTCGGGCGTGTCTATATTCGATAGCCCCCCCCCCGAAGCCATGCTCGCGCCCATAGGGTTAGGGGGAGGCGGGGGGAGGCGGGCGACGGGGGAGGCGGAGTGGGGGAGCGGGTGCCCGCGCTTCCTGCAGGGGCTGCGCGAAACGGGGGGGGACTGGTGGCAGGAGAGGCAGCTGCGGTGGCGGAAGAGGAGGCGGGAGGGGGAGGAGGGCGGAGGGGGGGAGGGCGGGGAAGCGGCTGGGGGGGAAGGGGGTGGGGAGGAAGGGGAGCGCGCAGGGCAAACAACCAGCGGGCGTGGCAGCATCAGTGCTGTTGGCAGTGGCGGTGGCGGCAGCGGCAGCGGCCGCGGTGGCGGTGGTGGTGGAGGCGGCAGCGGCAGCATCAAGCCCGGCGTCGCCAGCAGCATGAGCGCCACGAGCAGCACCAGCTTCACCAGCACAAAAACCTTCCGCTACCCAGCCAGCGCATCCCAGGCGTTCCCCCGCGGCGCACCCTCGTCCCCCTACCCCAAATCCGCCACATCCGGAGGCGGCGCAGGAAGAGCAGGAGCAGCAGGCAGCGGCAGCGGCAGCAGCAGCAGCATCACGGAGTGGGGGCGGCAGCGGTGGTGGTTCGGGCGGGTGATTGACCCGCGGAGCCCGGGCATGAAGCGCTGGTCGCGGTTCTACGCAGGAGTCACATCCCTCTCTCTCTTCTCCGACCCCTGCTTCCTATACATGCTCTCGTTCTCTAGTGATTCCTCCTGCCTGTACATCCAAGGCCCGTACGTGATCATCATGGCTTCCATCCGCACGCTATGCGACGTATTCTACCTCGTCAACTCGTGCCTCGCGCTGCGCACCTCGTACGTGTCCCGGCAGAGCATGGTGCTGGGGAGAGGGGAGCTAGAGACGTTCGCGCGAAAGGTCGCCGTGCATCATCTGACCTCCTGGAGCGGGTTATTCCTCGACGTTGTCGTGGTTCTCCCCATCCCGCAGGTGCTCTGCTTGATCGCAGTACCGTATTTCCTCCTGCAAGCCAGCGAAGGCGAGTACGGGTACGTGGAGGAGGGCATCGGAATCATGCTCTCTTTCATGCTGCTTCAGTACTGCGTAAAAGTGTATCACACGTACGTGGTGGCGCGGCGGCAGCAGAGGGTCAACGGGTACGTCTTCGGCACCTCCTGGTGGGGGTTCGTGCTGAACATGCTCGTGTTTCTCATCACCGCGCACGGATTCGGAGGGCTGTGGTACGTGCAGACCGTGCAGTCAGCCATTCAGTGCCTGGTAGAGCAGTGCAATGACTCCCAACCCACCTGCACGCACGACTGGCTGACCTGCCCGGAGCAGTTCGCATGGGGGGACATGCCGCCGCCGCAGGACAACGCGCAGGCGGCGTGGGGCGGCAGCACCAACGTCACGGACAACTGCTTCCCGCCGTTCGGCACCACAGGAAGCTATAACTACGGGATCTACGACTTTGCAGTGCAGTTACTGAAAGAGCAGGGGCCTCCCGAGAAGATCATGTACGGGATTTTCTTCGGGATCATGACTCTCGCGACGTTCGGGAACGCGCTCGTGCCGTCGGCGAGTATCGGCCAGTCGGTGTTTTCGCTGATCATGGTGATCTGCGGCCTGCTGCTCTTCACGTCCCTCATTGGCAACATCGAGGTGTTTTTACACTCCATGACGGCTCGCATCGAGGACATGCATCTGAGAAGGAGGGACCTGGACTGGTGGATGCAGCGGCGCCAGCTCCCCACGGATCTCCAGATGAAGGTGCGGCGGCAGGAGCGGCACACATTCGCATCCACCCGAGGCCTGCATGAGGAGGAGCTCTTAGACGGGCTACCGGACAGCCTTCAGAGGGATGTGAGAAGACACTTGTGCCGGGGGCTGGTGCGGAGAGTACCGCTGTTTGAAGCAGTCGACGAGGCTGTGGTGGATAATATCTGCGCGAAGCTGCGCTCAGTGGTGCTTATAGCGGGGACGCAGGTGGCCAGGCGGGGCGAGCCGGTCGAGGAAATGCTCTTCATAGCCCGGGGGCTCCTCAGGGGTTCCCGGGATGATGCTGATGATGCTGCTGCTGCTGCTGCTGGTGCTGGTGCAAATGGCGGGAAGTCTGTACGGGGGAGTAAGCGGCATGTGTCTGGGGATGGAAGCAGGAGCAGTGTGCAGGGCAGCAGCAGTAGTAGTCGTGTGGCGGGGGCCGGGTTTTCTTCCTTCACCAGCGGCTCGCGTGGGGTGAACTCCATGAGCTTTCGCCTGCCCTCTGCTGTGAGGTCTCTTGGGCTCCGATCTGCTTCTTCTCATGTGTCCTCTCATGTGTCCTCTCATGCGTCCTCTCATATGTCTTCGGCTGCCTCTGCTGCTTCTTCCTCCAATGCATCGCTCTCTGCCTTTACCGCTATCCCCAAGCTGCCTCCCGTCACCCCTCCTGGTGCTGCTGCTGCTGCTGGTGCTGCTGCTGGTACTGCTGGTTCCCCTGCTGCCGGCACCACCACTGGTCTTCCCGCAATCAACATCACTGCAGGACCAACCAACCCCACATCAACCCCACCCGCCTCCACCACCACCCCACCTACTTCCCCAACCGCTGCCGCCGCCGCCGCCGCTTCCGCTGCTGCTGCTGCCGTAGCTGCTGCTGCCACCTCTGCTGTTTCAACCGCAGCTGCTGTTGCATCTAACGTCACAGCGACAGCCCAAGGCGCAACAGGCACTCTGGTCACCCGTGCTCCCAGCCCTCCAGTCCTTTCAAGGCCCAAAGTCCCAGCCTTTGCACGAGCAGCAGCAGCGGCGGCAAGAGGAGATGCGAGCGCAGCGGGAGTAGCAGGAGCGGCAGCAGCGACTGCAGCTGCTGGTATCGCTCCCAACAACCCATACCGCCACCGTCCGCACCGGTACCCCCGCTTCCCTTACGGCTCGAACAGTGTCAACGACTCTGCTTCTGGTACAGGCGCTGCTGCTGCTGGTGGTGGTGGTGCTGCTGCTGGTTCTTCTGCTGCAGGTCATGGTGTGAATTTCGGGCTTTATTCCGAGAGCGCGTGTGAGATGGGTCCAGGGCATTTCTCAGGTGAGGAGCTTCTCTCTTGGGCTCTATCTCGAGAGCCAGACGAAGCCTTGCTTCCCAAGGCCACTATGACTCTAACCGCTGTGACTGTAGTGGAGGCTTTCAGCCTGTCTGCGGCTGATTTGTGCTTCATAGCGTCACATTTCCGGTTCCAGTTGAGAGATAAGAAGCTGAGAGCGCTGATTAAGTATTACTCGCCGCATTGGAGGACTTGGGCTGCTGTTACCATACAGCTTGCTTGGCGGCGGCGGCAGGCGGGTCGGGGACCGGTGGTGAGGTATGTGGAAAGAGGGCGGGAGGTTCGAAGGGGTGGAGAGGGGTCTGGGAGAGGCAGGATGCGCGAGACTGGAGGGTCTGGGATGAGGGGAGCGGGAGGGTTGGGAGGAGGGGGGGTTGAAAGGGAAGGAGGAGGAGGAGGATTGGGAAGAGTGGGAGAAGGAGTTGGGGAGGGGGAGGATGGGGTGGAGGAGGAGATAGAGATGATTGAATCAGTGGCTATTAAAGAAAAGGACACCAGGGGAAGGGCCATGTCAGGGCAAGGGAGGGACAACCAGCAGCAGCAACAGCAGCAGCAACAGCAGCAGGAGCATAGAGCTGTTTCCACTGCTGGTCCTTTCACTGGTACTACTGCTATTGTGCCTCCTGGTGCCTCTGCCGGTGCTTCTGCTGGTGCCTCTGCAGCCGCTACTGCTGCAGCTGTGGCCTTCCTAAAACCATCTATGCATTCAGAGCAGCACAGCTCGAGATCACCTCATCCCCATCAGAGCCTCCCTCCACATGCCCTTCACACACCTCCTCCTGCTGCTTCTGCTGGTGCTACTCGTGCCCCTGCTGCTGCTACTGCCGCCGCTGCTGCTGCTGCTCCTGCTGCTGATCCTAATGCCATGGCTACCATTCAACCATCCTCTACCACTGCTCCTTCTTCTGCCACCTCCTCCACCCCTGCAGTCTCCGCACCTGCCACCATCGCTGCTGCTGCTGCTGCCGCCGCTCCTCCTCCTGCTTTTACCGCTGGTAGTGCTGCTGCTGTTGGCGATGGGGTTGGTTCAACTGCTGCTGCTGGTGGCGACAGTGGTGGTAGAGCAGCAGCAGCAGCAGAGGAGGAGAGGACACAGGAGCGCATGCGCCTATACACCACCATGTTTGCCGCTCCCCCTAAGCCCGCTGGGGATTGACATAGAAATTGGTGTAGGTTCTCTTTGCGTCGACTCCAAAGGTGTGATTTGAGATGACTTGGAGCGCTTACATTATCCATCATGTTCGCTGCTCCACCCAGGTCAAGCCAAGCCCACTGGTGAGTGGCAATGGAGGTTTTGAGGCGCCTCAAGTGTGACAATATGGTGGGGGTCCGCTCACGGTGGCGGATGGAGTGTGGAGTGGAGAGATCACAGATTGCGATCGCCGATCACAGAGTAATTTGCATGCCAAGGTACCGGTAACGTTGGATGGAATGGAACCCCATCGCGGCCTGAAGTACCTAACGTTGAAAATCAGGTTCTGGAACAGGTTGGGCACGCAGGGCAGAAAGGGGCGGAAAGGGGCGGAGAGATGATGGAGGTGAGGAATTACCGTGTTATGTGGTGCGCTTATGTTCTGAGATTTTGTGCCTGGCCTGGTTATTTAGGTGTACCGTACCTGTCTGCTTGCTCAGCTCCGGCCCTCCCCTTGTTTCTTCCTTCCCTACTTTGCGCCTTTGATACATTGCTATTTTATTGAAATTTTTTTACGTTAAAAATCTTTGTACTCGACATACGCCTGTGGCATAACCATACATTGCACTTAGGGTACATTTGGGGGGAAAACATGTCACAAAGGCAGTGTACCACCCTGCACCGCATTACACCTAAATATCAAATGTTTTCACCGCACTGTATCTAGTCATTTGACATGACTTCCCCCGAATGTACCCTTACCGTATCACTGCATGCAGATGACAGAACGTATTTCATTTGAAGGTACACTAGGTACACAACGGAGCACGAGAAACATTGCCTTCAAACGAATCCTCTTAAAGCAAGGGTGCACTTTCCTAGGGGTGGTTTTTGGGGGCACTGTTAGTGCCCACCCTTTGGGGGATGCTGATTCGATAGCGAAGTGGATAGGTGCTGGTGCGAGGAATTCAACCTCGGCAAGTGATGCCAACAAATTTCGTACGGAAACTGATGTGGGGAAGACACCGCGGAAGGGCGGAAACCAAGTGTACGGCGCAATCAGCCAAGTGACAAACCTCATCCCGAGATCATTCTGACAAAGCAAACTTGCATGTAGTCTACCGATAAAGTGAACTTCCTTTTGTTGGCGCTATTACGACATTTAGTGAGCCACTTTTTTCACGCATAAAGTGAGCTTCCTTTCCCTAGCACTATGGTACGACAAACCTGGAGGGTAGAGTCCCCCCCACGCGTATACGCAAGGCCCCTCGCATGCTTGAGGACAGGCCGGGGTGAGGGGATAGGACAGGGCGGGGTGAGGGGATAGGACAGGGCGGGGTGAGGGGATAGGACAGGGCGGGGTGAGGGGATAGGACAGGGCGGGGTGAGGGGATAGGACAGGGCGGGGTGAGGGGATAGGACAGGGCGGGGTGAGGGGATAGGACAGGGCGGGGTGAGGGGATAGGACAGGGCGGGGTGAGGGGATAGGACAGGGCGGGGAAGGGCGAACGCAACGCCGGGGGGAAGGGCGCACGCGACGCCGAGGGGAAGAGCGCACGCGACGCCGGGGGGAAGGGCGCACTCGACGCCGAGGGGAAGGGCGCACGCGACGCCGGGGGGAAGGGCGCACGCGACGCCGGGGGGAGGGGCGCACGCGACGCCGGGGGGAGATCGTCACGGGAGTGGACAGAGCGCATGTCGAGCAGAGCGCGGAGCAAGGGAGAGAGGGGAATAGGCTGCAGAGGCGATTAAGCGAGAAAACGGCGAATGGGCAGCGGGGACGAAAGTTGAGCACTACTCGCGACACGCAGACGGAAGAGATCACCTTCCGTCTTCACGTCGCGTTTATAAGGCGGAGTAGTGGTGTGAGTGCCATTTCCTCCCGAGCATTGGTGTGCAGAGCATTGTGCAACCCTAAGGCGAATGCGGGGTTAGCTCTGGATAGGAAGCGGCATGGCGTTTGGACCTGGTTCGCGCGGAGTGGGCTGCGTAGTGGGAGGCGGGGATAGCAATCGATTCCAGCACGTGTCATCGGCGATTTGGGTGCGATGTAGTCGTCCGCTCGATACGAAAGGCATGTGCTGCGTGCGCCGTCGCGGCGAATTCGCGCCTAATTTCCCTTGCGATGTCGCGGGCGTAAAATGCATCCAGTGCGGTCGAGATAAACACAGGGCGGGCGCGATGAGTTCGCTGGCCGTAACCCTAAGTTCCGCCATTAGTAGACGGTGTGCTACTCTAGCTGTCACGTTTATCGTTTGCCTGCACTAGTGCTCTGATGATGGCGGCGCGCTGGGGTTGTGGTTGCAAAGCTATTCCTGCTTGCAGTGTGTTGTGGTACTGTACGAGAGTCGAGAGCATAATGGTTCACAAACTGCCTAGTTGTGACTCAAGTTCCCAACCCCTAGTGGGCCCGTCACAATTGACGACGGGGGAGAAACAACCCGCGCAAGTCCGCCAACACTAAAGCGTGGTTCGCTCAGACTCCCAAGACAAATAGGGTAACCACATGGAGGCAAGTGATAAACCTTTGCCTCCACCCCCCCCAAAGTGCACCCTTGCTTTAAAATCAAAGCGAGAGTCACATCACATCTCTTCCACCTCCACCTCGAATCCACACCAACAACGCTTACGTACCACACGAGGACACTCGACACCTCCCACACCACCACCCACCGCGCCATCAACCCAACCATCATCCCCACCAGAAGCACCCTGATTCCCTCCACTGAGATTCCCTCCCTCCACACACACCACTTCGAACTCATGCACGTGCCCTGCTCTCACCCGCCTCTCACCACCCGCACCCTTGCCCTCCTCCTCCCCTTCCTCCTCTTCTCCTTCCTCCTCTTCCCTTCCCCCCTCACTCATTTCTTCCTCGTTGTCGTCCTCTTCCTCCCCTTCCTCCTCCCCCTCCACCGCACATCCAATTTCCAATCGCTCCACCCCTTCCCTCCGAAACCCGCCAATCTTGCTCCCTTCACCGTCCATAGCACCCACACCAACAGCAGCAGCAACACCATCACCACCATCATCACCAGCAGCACCGCCAGCACCACCACCACCACCGCCAGCAGCACCACCACCACTGTCATTAGCAGCAGCAGCAGCTTCATAGGTATCCTGCAGCCTCTGGCGTGTGATCATGGCCCCTATGAGCACATGCCATCGCTCCAATGCCGCATTGCGCCGCCGCTGTAGCGCCAGCTCCTGCTGCCGCTGCTCCTCTGCTGTGTACGCCTGCAGGGAGGGAGGGAGGGAGAGGGAAGAGAATCAGAGTGAAGCAATTAGACAAAATGGAAGATGGCAGGGGCTTTGCAGTTGTCTACACGCTCCTCCTTGCACTCTACTCATACCTTCATCCCTCCGTTTCCAACCCACATCATCCCCAGATTACCATCCCTACTTACCACCAGCCCCTCGTACTTGGAGTTTTGAGACGTCTCAAAACCCCACCCCATCCCATCCCCTTCATTACACTCACATCCACTATAGTATCGGCGTGCTCTGCACACACCACCAGCCCTTCATACTTCGGCGTCGCCTTGCCCCCCTTCCACTCAAACCCCACCACGGCCGGCGCAAAGTCAAACCCCAGCCGCTGCACCACCGTTACAAGACGCGGTAACCGCAGGTGAACAGTGCCGGGAGGGAGGCATTTCTCCGACCACACCTCCACCTGCCCCCGCTCGTTCTTGGGAATCCGGCCGTCCACTGCGGGCGGCGGGCGCCAGGTGTCAGTCTGCCATTCGCCAAAGAGCTCAATGGTGATTGTGAATGATGAGGAGGAGGAGGAAGGTTCGTCACCCGTTGCCCTTCCTGCTCCTGCTGCTGCTCCTCCTCTTCCGTCCATTGATCCAACGGCTGCTGCTGCTGCATCCTCATCCTCAGCAGCAGTTGATCCTGCACCACCCATCCGCCCACCATTACTACCACCAGCACCTCCAGCAGCACTAGCACGGGCAGTGGCACGCATACGAGCAGCGACGTGGGAGGGAAAGCACTCGTGGGGCAGAATGTGGGTGCGTGACTGGTAGGGGTTGCGGTGGTGGACGGCGCGAGGAGTCGGGGGCTTGCGTGTGAGCTGAGAGGGAGGGGTGTGGGGTGATGCGGTGCAAGGGAGAGAGGGAGCAAGGGAGGGGCACAAGCAGAAATGAGAAAGACAGAAGGAACCTGGACAGATGGCGAGGCATGCTACGGAGCAGCAGCAGCAGAGACAGAAGAAGGAGAGGAGATATTTGAGTTACTCCAAGAAAACGACGAGGGAACCCATAAAATTCACGAACACCCCAACGTTGAGAATTCTAAGAAGTGACCACCAACCAACTCCCATCTTCCCTTCACAGACACCTCTCCATCATGCAAGCTCCTCCCCACTCCTCCCCTCCCCCCACTCCCCTCCCCTTCCCGTTCCCTCCCCTCCCTCCCTTACCCATCTACCCCACCCTTGCCCTCCTTCAGCCGCTGATGCAGCAACCTCAGGTGCTTGCAGGTCAACTCAGAAACTGACTCTGAACCAAGCTGATTACAAAGTCATTTCCAAAATGAGTCGGCTAAAAAATCACTCACTGTCTTGACAGGCGTCTCCCCGTCACGCACGCGCCTGCCCTCTTTCAACCACTGGTGCCGCGACCTCAGCTGCTGCACGCACGCGCGGGGGAACACCGCCTCCCCGCCACACACCCCCAGCACGGGGCCCCTGGGTCGCAGACACTGGTACGCTCCCAGCCACCGCTCCAACACGTATAGAGGATGGCTGCGGTATGCCTGGGGGAGGGGGAGCCAGGTGTGGGACGGGCGAGCGGAGAGGGAGAGTAATGAAACAGAAAGAACGACCCCCCCAGACCCAGCACGGGCCCCCTGGGTCGCAGACACTGGTACGCTCCCAGCCACCGCTCCAACACGTATAGAGGATGGCTGCGGTATGCCTGGGGGAGGGGGAGCCAGGTGTGGGACGGGCGAGCGGAGAGGGAGAGTAATGAAACAGAAAGAACGACCCCCCCAGACCCAGCACGGGCCCCCTGGGTCGCAGACACTGGTACGCTCCCAGCCACTGCTCCAACACGTATAGAGGATGGCTGCGGTATGCCTGGTGGGGGAGAGGGGGGGGGAGAAGGCGTAATGAAACGGAAAGAACGAACCCCCCAGCACGGGCCCCCTGCGGCACAGGCACTGGTATGCTCCCAGCCACCGCTCCAAAACGTATAGAGGATGGCTGCGGTATGCCTGGAAGGAGGGGGCGGAGGGGTTATGTGGGAGGGGGCGGAGGGGTCGTGGGGTTTGAGGTGAGGAGAGAGGGGGAGCAATGAAACGGGAAGAACGAAATCCCCAGCACGGGTCGGGTCCCCTGGGGCGCAGGCACTGGTACGCTCCCAGCCACCGCTCCAACACGTATAGAGGATGATTGTGGTACGCCTGAGGGTGGGGGAGAGGGGTGTGGGGTGGGGCGGGGGGTGTGGTGGGGGTTGGGTGAGCAACGAAACGGGAAGAACGAAGCAAGGCACTGGTACGCACCCAGCCACCACCCCAGCAGGTACAGAGGGTGGCTGCGGTACGCCTGGGAGGGTGCAGTGTGGGAGGTGGGGGGAGGTGGGGTTGCTGTGGGTGGGGTGCGGGGTGAGTAGGTGTGGGAGGTGTGGGGAGTTGGGAGGGGGTGCAAAAGAGTACCGAACCGAACAAAGAAGTGGTAAGAGTGAGCAAGGGCAGCACTGAGGCTGCTTGTAAGCGACCTGCGTGTGATGAGTCCATTTTTGAGTTGACTAAAAATTCGACTCATCACACGCGGACTAAGAGTGAGCAAGGGCAGCACTGGCGCTGCTTGTAAGCCACCTGCTGGTAAGAGCAGCGGGCCAGCGGGCCAGCGGCATCACCTCACCTGCTGGTTGGACGGCAGCGGTTCTGTGAGCTGCTTCACGTCCATCTCCATGTCCTCCGCTGCTGCCCGCTCGTCCCACGCTGCTGCTCGTGCTGCTGCTGCTGCTGCTGCTGCTGCTGCTGCTGCTGCTGCTGCTGCTGCTGCTGCTGCTGCTGCTGGTGCAGTTGCTGCTGTTGCTGCCGTAACCCTCTCTGCTGCACCTGCACTCGCACCTGCACTCGCACTTGTAGCAGAACACCCTGCAAGGCCGGAGGAGGCAGCAGCAGAGGGCCGCAGGCCAGACAAGGCCATGGAAACCGGCAGGGGAGTCACAGAGGAGGGAGACGGGGCGGAGGCGAGGATAGGGGCTGGGGCTGAGAGTGGTGGGGTTACAGAGGACGGTGCTGAGGGGTTAGCCTGGGTGATTGGGGGAGTTAGAGGTGCTGGAACCGGTGGGATGGAAGAGGAGGGGAGCGCAGTAGGAGGAGAAGGAGCAGAAGCAGGAGCAGGAGGAGGAAGAGGAAGAGCAGGAGGAAGAGCAGGAGGAGCGGGAGGAGGAGGGAGGAAGCGGTTGGCAGCAGTGGAGGCAGCTTCTAGTGATCGCAGGGGGGACAGGGTGGACGCCCACCAGGCTTCGTCCCTGAGAGGCGAGATCAGTGACCAGCGTGCAGCGTAGCTGAAAGGGGTTGTGGGGGGGGGGGAGAGGCAAAAGCAGGATAAAAGCTTGAGAAGCGTTACAGAGATGTATTGCAGCAGGGCAGGCAGGGTGGACGCCAACCAAGATTCGTCCCTGAGAGGCGAGACCAGGGACCAGCGTGCAGCGTAGCTGAGGAAAGGAGGGATGGGGAAGGGAGGAGAAGAGAGGCAGAGGGGAAACAGAAGAGGAGGATAGGAGGGTGCTGCTGACGAGGCGGAGAGCGGTGAAGTGAGGTGAACATAGATGAGCGCAGGTTAAGAGAGGTCGCAGAGGTGATGAACATGGAAGGCACAGGGTGCTGCAGAATGCAAAACAGCCTGAGACGATGAAGCAATAATACGTGCATACCGCCGCTTCGTGACATGACGATGAGCCGCTTTGCTTTGGCGACAAGACAAGTCGAAACCATGACGCGTCATGAGGCGCTGAGGCGTCTCAGAACATGAAGCACTAAGACGTTACCAAAACACCCATGCAGCAGAAGAATGTGCGTACCGTCTAGTGACGTCCTTGGCTCCACCACCCGCCAAGCCAACCACATATGTGAGAGGCTGGGACATGCCCATCAACAAGCCCTCCACTTTGTCCTCTCCGTCCACCACCCCCCTCCCCCCATCCACATGCACCCACCGCCCCACACTACCAGCACCAGCACCAGAACCAGAACCAGCACCAGCACCAGAACCAGAACCAGAACCAGCACCAGCACCAGAACCAGAACCAGCACCAGAACCAGAACCAGCACCAGCACCAGCACCAGCACCAGAACCAGAACCAGAACCAGCACCAGCACCAGCACCAGAACCAGAACCAGCACCAGAACCAGAACCAGAACCAGCACCAGCACCAGCACCAGCACCAGAACCAGAACCAGCACCAGCACCAGAACCAGAACCAGCACCAGCACCAGAACCAGAACCAGAACCAGAACCAGAACCAGAACCAGAACCAGAACCAGAACCAGAACCAGAACCAGCAGCAGCAGCAGCAGCGCCACTACCAGCATGTGAATTCCCACCTCTCCTCCCACCAATGGCCCTCCCACCCATCCTTCCAGCACCCCCCTTCTTCTCCGCCCCAACAACACTGCTGCTCTCAGAGCCATCCGCCTGGCATCTCTTCCTGCCACTCACAAACACCTCAGCCCAGTGCGACGCTGAGGCAAACTGGCGCGACCACACCACTGCACCGCCGCCGCTGCTTTTACCGTTCCTGCTGCTGACACTCCTGTTTGCTGCAGGATTGCTCCAGCTGACAAATGCCTCTTGCTCCAGGGACATTGCTCCTCCTGTGCCTCCTCCAGTTGTTCCTCCTGTTGCTCCTCCACTTGGTTTTCCCGTCCGAGCATCTGTCTGTGAGTCTGCTGCGCTGCTGGTGAGAGCATTTGTACAAGCACTGGAGGAGGCAGCAGCAATGCCAGCTACTGCTGCTGCTACCGCTGCAGTCCCAGCAGTCTCTGCTGCTGCTGTGGGAGAGGGGTTACCAGCAGCAGCAGCAGGGGCAGCGGCAGCAGTGGCAGCCATGGCCATAGCTAGCTGCAACTCAAACTCCTCGTCTCCCTTTCTCTTTCGCTTCCGCTGCTGTTCTGAATGCAACTCTTCTCCTCCTCCTCCTCCTCCTCCTCCTCCTCCTGCTCCTGCTCCTGCTCCTGCTTCTCCTCTTCCTGTTTCTACTGCTGCTGCCCCTGCTCTATCTCCTCCTCTTCCTCCTCCTCGTCTTCCATCCACCTCTACTTCATCTTTAGAGTCCCCTCCTCTCTCCTCGCCTCTTTTTCCGCCCTCCATCACCCCTTCCTCAATCTTAACCGCAGCCACATGACTTCTGCAATTACATCTTTCACAGTCACTTCCCTTACAATCACCTCCTTGACAGTTACCTCCTTTACATTTACCACCCATTCGCTTCTCATCCGCGCTCTGATCACACCCCACATCCTTCTCCTTCTTTACCCTTAGCCTCGTCACTCGCCCTACCCCCGTCCCGTCCTTCTCTCTTTCCCCACTCTTCCCCCTGTCCTCCTCTTCCTCTTCCTTCCCACGCCTCCTCTTCCCCACCACACTCCCTCTCCCTCCCCGTCCTCTCCCCTTTCCTCTTCCCCTGCCTCCACCACCTCTCTCGCCCCTACCACCCCCCCCACTCTCCTCTGCTGCTTCCTCCTCTCCACCTACCGGTTCTTTAGAATCACCTCCACTACTACCACCACCACCACCACTACTGTCACGACTGCCCCTGCCCCTGTCCCTGCCTCTTATGCCACGGATGCCACCACCACTGCGTATCTGTGCCGTTTCTGCCTCTTCTGCTTCATCTGGCGCATCAGCAGATGCACCCTTCCGGCAGATAATAACACCCTCTCCTACTCCTACTGCCAGCCTTGTACTCCGAGCCCCACCTGTCCCACTCGTTCCCGCTCTTTTCCCTCTCCTGCCCCTCCCACCAGCAGCAACACCAGCACTATCAGCTGCACCAGCAGTACGGTCACAATCAGCAACCGGAATAGCGAGTGTGGCACCACCAGGAAATGCAGCAGGAGAAGCAGCAACACCACCAGCAGCAGCACCAGCAGCAGCACCAGCAGCAGCAGCGGCAGCAATGGTAGCAACAGCAGTGCGTCCCTTGGGAAAACGCGCACCATTTAAGGCAGCAGCAGCACCTGAAGACGGACCACGCACCTGATGGCGCAGAAGCAACTGATGCCCAGGTGCATGGGGCGGATCAGGGGGAGCAGCGGCGGGGGCGGTGGAGGAGAGGGGGAGGATGCGCGTGCGATGCGTGAATGGGGAGGGGGAGCGGGAGGCGGGTGTGCGTGGGTAGGGGGCGTCGGAGGAAGGGTCGAATTCTGATAGGAGCTGAGCGGTGGGTTTCAGAGGGGAGGGGGAGAGTGCTGTTACTAGCCTGTGGAGGGGGGGCAAGAGGGAGGGAGGAAGTGGAATGCGCATGGAGGAGGAAGGTTGGAAGGTGAGTGAGCACTTCATCGTCATCGTGCGTGCGCTCAACTCATTCGTCTAACCTCCGAGATACACATGACGCTTTTGAGATTAGACGAAAGCGTCAAAAGCGTTAGACGAAGGAGTTGAGCGCACGATGACTGGAATTGGCATGAGTCACCTGAGAAGCCACTAGTGACGAATAATCAAAACCAGCTGAAAATTATCCAAAACTTTGGGCCAAAATCTTCGGAAGGACACGTTCACTTATTTAAAGACAGCTCGGTTACTTCTTTCTCTTATCTAATTAGTTCTCAAAATAAGGCACAATGTGCTGCTGGAAAGAGCTTCGCGCGGCAGCCAGAAAATAACGTGGAAGCAACACCAAGGGGTACAAACTGCAAGAGACAGACATGCAGACAGACAGACAGGCTGTACCTGGCAGTGAAACCAAGAGCACGGAAGAGAGCAACAGAAAGAGCAGCAATCTCTTCAGCTGAGCCCCCTCTACGTGCCACTGCCTGGTGCAGACCCTCTGTGAGGTGCGCGGAGAGAGAAAGACTCGACTGCTGCTGCCCAGTGCTGCTGCTGTGGTTGTTGACTGTGCGGCTGGGCTGATGCTGCAGCTGTGCTGGTGGCAGGGGTTGGAACGGTGAGGAAGAGGATGGTTGAAGGGTGAAGGCGGAGCGGACCTGCATGGGAGGAAGGTGAGTGTGTTTCGTCGGACATGCATGGGAGGTTTGGACGGAGGGGGGGGGGGGAAGAAGAAGGTGAGTGTGTTTCCTGTGACATGATTGGACACGCATTCTTGGGTTGACTTAAAAAGTGGGTTTAGGGAGAGGTGAGTAAAGCAACAGTTTTAATGGAAGGTATGATGGTTGACGGACAGAGTCAGGAAATTCGACCTTGTAGGACATGGCGAACAAGATGGAGTGGCCAATGGAGAGAGGCAGGCACAATGAAAAGAGCAAAGACAGATGGACAGACGGACAGGACGGACAGACAAGCGGACAGGCCGAGAGACGGATAGAGGGACAGATGGACAGACGGACCGACAGACCGAGGGTCACTGGACAGACGGACGGACCCAGGATGTGAGTTGCTGCAGCAGGTGCAGGGAGGGAGCCTGGTGCGATGCTGCTGCTTCCTGTGCCTCCTCCAATAGGAGTCGTGGGGCTAGCGATAGCATGGCCGCCTGCATGCGGATTGTGGGGGGGTGCGGGGTAGTGGGAGGGGAAAGGAGATTGAGGATATGGTTGGAGAGAGAGGTGGTAAGCCAGAGCGGAACATCCAAGACGTCAAGACATAGAAAAACCAAGACATCAGGAAACCAAGGCACTGGGTAGCACTGTATATTCCTTGACTTGCCACCAACGGCCACACTACAACCAGGCTGCACTCATGCAGTGAGCGCGCACACGCACAAGCACTCATGCAGTACGCTCAAACACTCACACATCTCATGCATGCATGGCACGCTTGCATGACAGCCCACCTACAGCAGTTAAAGCCCTTTCGCATAAACAAACTCCTATCCCCGTCCCACCTGCAGGAGCGCGTCATCTGCGGCACTGTCGAGCGCTAGAGCACGGGCGAGCAGGCAGAGCAGGTGCACGCGATGCACTCACTGACACCACTCCTGCACGGACGAGAAGAGTGAGAGGGGGATGCCTTTTGAGCCCACTCAAAGGTCAATGCGGGCGAGCAGGCAGAGCAGGTGCACGCGATGCACTGACTGACACCACTCCTGCACGGCAGAGAAGGGGGAAAGGGGGGGATAGGTGCGGATAGGCGGGGACATGTGGGTGGGGATAGGTGGTGTGGGGATAGGCGGGTGGGGATAGGGGGGGTGGGGATAGGGGGGGTGGGGATAGGGGGGGAAATGTGGAGATAGGGGGTTTAGATACATAAAAAACGATGTAAAGGCTACAGGAGAAAGGAGGATACACTCAACTCAATACGGGCCTGTACAGAAACAGCTCGTCTTAGAAAAGATGTGCTGGCGCGCTCACCACTCGGCATGGCATACACAAGATGACTTGTGATTCGAGTTTTCTGTAGAAATGGAAATATAATTGCATGGGTCCGGGAGAAACTATACATACCTTTTGAAGAAGCGTTTACAGGACATGCCACCAGTAGCAGCCATGGCTCACCTTATCTTTGACTCGACTAAATATTCCTCTCACCTTGTCTTCTGCCGTGGCGCGTCGCACTCTCTTCGCCGCCCCCTTCCCTCGCTTCCCTCCCACCGCTCTTAACCCCTCCTCCCCCAACCCCCCATCCATCGTGACGCTTACTTGACCATCCCATCCCCCTTCTTCACCCCCTCCCCCTCCCGCTCCCCCTCCGCCGCTCCCACCCGCTTCTATCCCGCCTTTCCCGCCTAATTCTCCCCCAGACGTTTCCGCGTTCTCCTTTCCCCCCGCAGCCTCCTCGCAATCAGCCAACTCCTTCCCCTTTCTTCGAAAATTTTCGTAAGAGTCAAGCGATCTTTCCTCCATACGCTCCCATGCCTTGCCGTGCACGATCTTCGCATCTCTCTCCCAATCCTCCCGATCCTCCCGCTCCTCCCGCTCCTCCCGTTCTTCCCACTCGTAATCCTCCCATTCCTCCTCGTATACGACACGAGCCGCATGGTCCCACCCTTTTTTTTCCGTTCTTAATACCCCTGCGGATTCACCGCGCGTCGCGGCGAGAGGTTCGGGAAGGCCGTCCCAAGCCTCCCACTCGTCGTCTTCCCCGTCCGAAGCACCGCCGCTAAGCATTCTGCTTCAAGGCGGCACGAGGAGGAGCACGAAACCTGCCCTTTGGAGTAAATAAGAAAAGCGAAACAGCCGCTGCGTACGGAATTAGGATGAAAGAGATGAGCGTTGGAAGGTGCGCAACGACATTGCATGCAGATCTTGGGAAAAAAAGTGTGAAACGTTAGACGACGCTGTGGGGGAGGGAAAGGTTGCGGGTGGAGGGAGAAGGCGCTGGGTGTTGAGTTGAGAGGTGGCTGCTGTGAATGACAGCAACTGGGAATTTCACATCCCAGTGCAAGAAAAAAGCAATGAAAAAAAGACTAACAATGTTATATATTAGAAAGATAGCCATAGTGAGTGCTGCATCTTCCAAGAATACATGTTGCAACCAGATATTTCATCAATGTAGGAAAATGGTTGATTAATTTCTACATTTTAATTCGTTTATACTACCGTCACTTACAGCTTGGTGTAAGGAATTTTCTCAATATTCCTTAGCGCGCCCTGCAACATCGCGTACAGCAGCAGCCGTTGTTCGCCCGTTACTGCTAACGGGGCTTCGCCGACTTCGCGCGCACTGTTTCACCAAACCTAGCACTGCTGGCCTGGCCGTATCGGCCTACGCTTCGGGACTAGCCCGAACCTCGCCTCTAGCATAGCACTAGCTAGCTCGCACGCACCGTGTTACCGTTTGCATGTTTCGCGTATAAATGTTCGCTCATGCCTTCGCTCACATTTTGTACTCGTTTGACACCTTAGTGCAATTCTTGCTACTTCGATTCATTGCACCCGTAACACTTGGTATTCAGAGCCTCTTTCTTTTCGGACCGTGCATCTCCGCACCCCAGGAAATCAACTTTTGATTTTTCACTCGAAGGGACTCACGCACCTTAGCCCCTAAGAGCCGCTGTCCTCGCGTTCTCACGTAAACGCGTGCAGCCACGACTGCGCCTAGACTAAGCCGAGCCGACGTCCCTCGTAATGGCTGAGCATATCGATGTCGCGACTCTCACGCAGGAGCACTTGAACGAACTGCTGCGGCAAATCCACGAAAGCTCTGAAGAAATCGCGGCGCTGACGGCAGAACGCACGTCCCTGCAAAATGACCTCGCATGAGCACAATCCCAAGCACCTGGCACCCCGATTCAGCCCGCACCATAGACATCGCAACACGGAAGTGTGGGGCAACCCGCGAGCGCCGCAAGTGATGGCGTCGTCCGCCATGACGGAGACGACGACCACGGCACGACACACCCCGACGCGACATGCCACCGTTGCATGCCTTACGGCATGCATCCACTTTGAGTTTCCGAGACCGGACTCGATCAGTAGTGCTCGGGTTGTCTCGAGAATCGTTCTGTTTGCTCGCTCAGCTACCCCGTTGGACTGTGGCGAATAAGCTGTGGTCTTTTCCTTTATGATTCCCCTCTTCTTCAGCCAATTCTCCAGCTTGTCTCCAGTGAATTCTCCACCACGATCAGTGCGAATCCGCTTCACCCGACATTCAGATTGTGTTTCTGCCGTAGGAATCCATTCATCCTGAATCACCGCTGCTGCATCGCTCTTTTGCCTCAAGGGGTAGGCCCACATGATTCTGCTCCAGTCGTCGATGATCGTAAGAAAATATCGCTCTCCCCCATCCCCTTGTACTGCAGTGTTCCGACGAGGTCCATGTGCACTAGTTCCAGCGGATTTTTACCGCGCTTGGAGACCGAGGAGAAAGGGAATCTGGTGAACTTGCTCACCAAGCATGTTTCGCACGTATGTTGCGGGGCGGTGCCGCTCAGCTTCAATCCATTTACCGCTTCCTCTTTGACCAGCTGCTGCAATATCGTCATGTTGACGTGTCCGAGGCGCCTGTGAGCAGTCACCCAATCTGTTTCTCCGCTTCTTGCTGACACCCGTTCCTCTGACACACTTAGAGCGCTGTTCTCCCCCAGGCCTCTGGTCTCATCCTTTTCACATGGTACCACCGGTAGTTGCCACATGGACCTGAAGACATCCTTGTCTTCGCGCAGATCCCATAGAACTCGGTTTTCTAACTCCCCCTTAAAGCTTTTTGATCCATTCGTGTTGGTGCTGACTCCGGCCTTACCAAGCCTCCTGAGCGAGATCAGATTCGCCTTTAAATCCGGGACCAGTAGCACGTTCTCTTGTATGACAGGATTACCGCCTGCTCCCTTGAACAGTACTCGACCTGCTCCTTGCACTTGCAATGCGTGTCCTGATGCTGACCGAACTTCCGAAATTGGTGCTGCACCAACTTTGTCCAATAGATCAGATCTCGGAGACATTGTCCACGATGCTCCCGTGTCTAGAATCCAGGCGCTTAACGGGTGAAGCTCGGCTCCCACTTTCGCTGAGGCCCCACTTTCATTTTCTTCCCCCTCCACATAGTTCGCGTCGAAGAAAATGTTCAACGTGAAGAGCCACGCCTGAACGGTAGGACCACCCCGCTGACTTGGGTCAAAGCATGGCGGACGCTGCGGCTTCAGCGGCATCGGCGACGGTAAGGTTGATTCGCCGGCCGGCACCGAAATAGTCGGAGATGAGAGTTGGGTTCCATTGAGACGGTGGCTCAAGTGGAAACCGCCAGTTGACATGCTGCGCGTATTCGGATGCATGGCAGTGGCTCACGTTCCCAAAGCCCACAGGAGCAAGTTAGGAGCGAGCACGATCTGGTGCGTGCACCTTGGCCTGGCACAGGAAAGCAAAGGTGGCTGCTGTGGGAACCGAAGAAAGGGCGTTTCTTCGACACACGACAGAAAACTGCACAGCATCTGCAGGAGATCTCTCTGTCATTTGATCTGATTTCGGAGGAAGCCCTGTCAAGAATGAGAAGTGGTTGCACTAGGTCAAAATATGGGGTACAAGTAGGAAACCCTAAAGTTATCATACCCATAGTATCTACCCCACTACAGCCTAAACAAACTGTAGTAGATATAACATTTGACACACCCCCATAGGCAAAGTGGGGGAGAGCAAGGGGTCACAAGACCAGTCAAGAAAGGCAAAGCAAGCTCAGGGTGGATCACAACGTCACCACACTCACTGAGCACAAGCAAGAAGCCACAAGGCCAGTTCACATGCAGAGGCATATATGTAACACAAGCATCACAGTGATCTATACCTAGCAAAGCAAGCATGCAGGTATATATATAGATCACAGTACAGGCAAAGTCTACAACAAGTGAGGAAAAGTAGGCACAAGCCCTAGCAAAGTGCAGAAACGCTGATGATCACCAGACTGAAGTGCCTTGGTGAATATATCAGCGTAGAGCGATGTGCTTCGTTCTGTGCTCCAGTCTGTGCTCCTCACACAAGGCAATGGCAGCCTTGTTGTTGACGTACAGCACTGGAGGAGAACGAGGCAGCTCTCCCAGGTCGGTCAGCATGTAGGTGAGCCAGCGTAACTCCTGTGCAGCCATGGCTGTGGCGTAGATCTCAGCCTCACAACTGGAGCTGAGAACTGAAGACGAACACGTAGAACGCCACGAAACTGAGCCAGAGCCAAGGCTGAAGGTGTAACCCTGTGACGACCGCTGAGTAGCCTGGTCGTCAACCCAAGAAGCGTCTGAGTGCCCAGTGAGAACAACTGAGCTCCTCCCTCCAAGCACGAGCCCCATGCCCGATGTACTGCACAAGTAGCGCAGTACCCTCTTTGCAGCATCCCAGTGCACCTTTCGGTGCCTACCAGGAGCCACGTAGCGAGCCAGAAGGCCAAGAGGGTACGCTAAGTCAGGACGAGTGCAAGTCATCAGGTACATGAGGCAGCCAACTAGCTCTGGGTAAGGACCACTCGGCTCTACGGACTCGTCCGAAGGTGGAGCTGAGAGCGAGTGACCTGTAGCCAGAGGAGTGGCCTGTGCCGAGGACCAGGTGAAGCCGAAGCGCTGAAGGACCTGCTGCACCATGTGTGACTGAGTCAGCGTGCTCTGTCCCGGGTGATCTGCAAGCCAAGGTAGCTGCGCAGTTCACCCAGGTCTGTGCACGTGTGTCTCTTCTGCAGCTCCGACTTCACGTGGGCGAGAGCCTCAGTGTCAGCAGTGGCAAAGACCAAGTCGTCGACGTACACGAGGATATAGAACGGCGGCAGCGAAGTGTCGGTGCGCAGAAACAGCGACGGGTCAGCAGTAAAGGGCGCGAACCCAAGAGCCGCAAGTGTAGTCCTCAGTGTGTCGTGCCACTCACGTGGCGCCTGGCGGAGACCGTAGACCGGCCGCCGGAGGCTCCACTGGGTACCAGGAGGGAACGACCCAGTGAAGCCAAGAGGGCGGCGCAGCCAGATCTCCTCGTGCAGGCTGCCCTGCAAGAAAGCTGTGCTGAAGTCAAGAGAGTGAAGCTCGTAGTCACGCTGAGCAGCAACGTGCAGTAGCACCCGAAGAGTGGTCATCTTCGGGGTGGGGGAGAAGGTCTGGAAGAAGTCTACTCCCTCTCGCTGACTGAAGCCTCGAGCAACGTAACGAGCCTTGAAGACAGGCGGAGAACCTGGCGGTCGCTTCACCCAGAAAATCCACATGCCACTGACGATGTTCGCCCCAGGAGGGGGAACCTCGTCGACGTAAGTGCCAGTGGACTTCCAGGAAGCCATCTCTGCGTCCATGGCTGACTGCCACTGAGAGGAGTACTCACCCGCGATCGCCTCAGCGTAAGAGCGCGGGGTCGGGATGTCTGGTGCATCCGGGTCTCCCTCTGGTGCAATCAGCATGGACACGAGATGAGGTACAGCAGCGGCAAAGCACTCAAACTCCTCCTGCCTGTCCTCAAGGACGTCCGTGCCTAGAGCACACTCACCCCCGACGGACGGAGGACAGACAGACTCAGACTCAGCAACAAGACTAGCGGCGTAGTCTAGACGATAGCGAGCAGCAAAGTCGACAAGCTCAGCAACTAAGGCAGACACAGCTGCAGACTCAAAGGAAGGGTCAGTGACAGCAGTGGCCAGGAGACGCGTGACAGTAGGACTAGCAGCACGAAGAGAGTCAGACTCCGGGTCAGCAAGGGCAGGAAGAGAGGACGCA